GTCTAAGTGGTGGATTCTTGAACGCTTTCTTGGAACATGGGCTTATATGGGCTCATAAATTTTCATAGGACATGTCCTAGAAGTAACAGGCTGGCTAGCTTTATCCCTATCCAAGAACATTTTAGAATTTTTCTAAGATTCTCAGATTATACTAAAGTACATTTATATCAACAACATGTATAGGTTGAGAGCATTTGAATTATATTTTAAGCCCGACATTGCCAGGTGGTTAGGGCGCTCGACTCTCAATCTAAGGGTTGCGGGTTCGAATCCCCATCACACTAAACATGCTCGCCCATTCAGCCGTGGGGGCATTATAATGTAACAGTCAATCCCAATATTCGTTGGTCAAAAAGTAGCCCAAAAGTTGGCGGTGGGTGGTGATGACTAGCTGCCTTCCCTCTAGTCTTACGCTGCTCTCGTGTAGCTTTGCACGAAATTCAAGCAAACAATTATATTTTAAAATCGGTTGTCGTTTGGCTTAGATGTCTATAGAATTAAATTTCTGACTTATCATAAAATGTTGTGAAAAATCACGGATTATCAAATACACACGTTCTTTTCTTAAAACATGTTGCATAAAACAGTTTGGAATAGGATATAGGAGGATTAATATTAAAGTTATTATTTGAATGTGTTTTTTTTGTTGTTGTTGTTTATCCTTTCTCTGAGAAATCTGATCCTTCTATCGCATATACCAAGCATTAAATACAAAGAACAAAATTACATTGAACTTGGGTTTCTACAATTCAACTGTCTTATTATCAATCCCCGTCACCAATAAAAGAAATATTAATAAATTTTCCTTTAAATAACACCCATTAATAATAAAATGATGCAAAGATAACGTGTTTTTTGTTTTTGTTTACGTAAAGGTTTAAGTTGTTTGAAATAATAAAAATAAAATGTATTCAAAATCTAGCAAACCCAACTTCCATCAATGTTATTATTCTCTTATTAAAACACTTCATTGAATATCAGCGCAAAACCTTTATGCCTTTACTATCTATAAACTGTAGGGAAATTTATAATTAGTAACAATCTCCATATAGACAGTTTTACAGAAATCGGATTAACAAACGTCTGCCTAAATACACTGCATGGAAAAAGTATTCTAAAAGGAATTATATGGGTGAAGATAAGTGAAGTCCTATGGTGGGTAAATAGCAAATTTACGGACTTGCAATGCTTAAATCCAGGGTTTGATTATCCGTAGTAAACAGAGAGCCGTTGTTTAGCTTTGTGCTAAAAACAAGTGAAAGTTTTTATTAAAAAAAAAAAGATTTAGGAGTTGAATAATGGTAAAACGTAAAAAGCGTACCAAGTGACATTCATTTATCCCCTGGTGGCTCAGCGGTAAGTAAGGAGACTTGTAATGCTAAAATTAACGTTCGAATCCTGTGGGAGACACAGAAAAGATAGCCCATTGTGCAGCTTTACTCTAAAAACAACAAGATAAGCGAAAGTTGTTCTTTTTTTAATGCTTAAGAGCTGAATAATGATAAAACTTAAAAAGTGTATCAAGTGGCATACAACTATCCCTGGTGGTTCAGCGGTAAACACTGAGACTTGTAACTCTAAAATTAGCGAAACAGATAAACCATTGTGCAACTTTGCGCTTAAAAAAGAAGACAATTTTTCCACCTGGAGTAGAATAGAGAAGACGTTGGAACTACTAACACGTTTCTCCTTTAAATCCGAATTTGTAGCAGAGATGGATAAGTCCTAGTGTGTCTTATCGAATCAAATAAATATAACCATAGACAACAATCTTCACACAAAAAGAATCTCAAAGAGATCGCTAAACTGAAAAAAAAAAAAGTTTTGAATTTGATTAATGGAGTGCCAGATTTTGTTATCTATTTTCTCAAAATTTACCACTCCTTGTGTCAAATAAGCAGATAAGCAGAGTGTAAAAATGTCAATTATATATTCACAATATATATTCACAATTAATATAAAAGAAATGTTTGAAGTGTAACGGGAACAAAACCAAATGTAAGTCTTGTGGAACGTCCTTTGTTGCAATCAGTGAAGAAAAAGTATAAAATATCAAAATTAATCTGTTTTGACACAATCTTTTACTTTACAATATTTTGAATATATTCAATTTTTTTATGTATAAAAAACGCAAAGCGCAACGTTATCTAGAGATTTACCAGGCAATTAAATTTTAAAAATTGTAGGACTACAAGTATTATATAACAATACACATGACACTAAAGAGTTAAATAAGATGAAGTATAGATAAATCCCACTGTTTTACGTCCCCTCACCACAGAAATAAAATTACGCTCTCACAATATGGGGTAGTCGGTGCGTTAAAAGTGAAACTGTCAAATTCCAATATTCTTGCAGAAAAGTCTAGCCCAAGAGTTAGCGTGGGATAAGTCAGAAAGCCATATTTCTCAGCAATAGCCGTCCCTAATTTTAAACTGGGGACCACAAAAGAAGCAATCAGTCGTCAGCACTCGCCGCCAGACGTGGCTACTCTTAATGGGATAGTGAAATTTATTGAAACACCCACAGCAGCAAATGTAAAGCGTGTTCATTGGCACCACATCTCGAACCCGAAACCCTCCTATCCACAGCCTAGTACGTTAATCACTAAGCACGTTAAAGCCTTATTTATAGAAAATGATGAAAAGAAGCTAAATTTGTTTATATGGTTCTGTTACTAAAAATAAACTTTACAAAATAATTATCCACAGGTTTATATTTCTGTTGTACAAATAACGCTTTTAAAACCTAAAGCAACTTATAAGTTGATATACTTACTCCCAGTGATCTTTGCCATATAAACATTTTACATGTCATACAAATATTATCTAATGACTAGTAACTATGATATCCTGAGAATCAATATGGTTATTCGGTTATCAAACAATATTTGTTAATGTTTTCATTCTGCTTTTTATAGTGTGATATAAGCAGAATTTGTTGGTTACATGATAATAAATCAGAATAAAGAGTATGTTTCTGTGTGTTATGGTTATAAGCTGAATCTTTCTTAATGTTTATTTGTTAGCACAGAGCTACAGAATGTGCTATCTGTGTTCTACCCAACTCGGATATCGAAACCCGATTTTTAACGTTATAAGCCCTCAGACTAAGAGCTGAACCACTTCAGGATTGTTCTAACGGTTTGTTTGTTTGGTATTAAGCATATAGGTATACAATGGGCTATCTGTGTCTGCCACGGGTATCGACACTCGATTTTTAGCGCCGTGACCCTCAGTCTTGTCACTGAGCCAACGTAGGGCGTTTTTCTATTGGCTGTTTACGAGAGTTCACTTGAAATTGGATGCATATATAAGAAATGCGATTTAACAATTACTTTTATTTTTAAGACCTTATGTGCAAAAAAAATCCTTTATAATTAATTTAATGTGATTTCTCAAAGTAGCTTTAATTATCTATATGTTATAGAATATATCGTATAGTCATCAAGTTCATACGTACAACCATCCTAGTATGATATATACAGCTGGAAAAAAGTTAAGCACCCCCGTGTTTTTTCAAGTGATTCAGATTCGACGTTCTTGTGACTGATTATAAATTACCATTCAATCTAAACGTGTTTATCAAATGAAATTAT